TTAAGATTTGACTCTCAGAGAGAGCAACACTCCAGAGAGAGACCACTGTGTTCCAAACTTACCTGATCAGTCACCTGGGGTGCTTGCTAAAAAAACAGAGTCGCAGGCCACTTCCCAGATCTGCTGAATCAGGATATCCAGGGGAGTTCTTTAAAATCTGAATTTTTAATGAAATGTCCTAGATGGTTTTTATGATAAGACTAATTTAGAGAAAGCCAGGATATAACACAGCTCCATGAAGATCTCAAACCAAAGACTTAAAGAAAGCCAGGGAAAAAGGATATCTTAGTCTGCTTGGGCTGCAATAATAAAATACCATAGATTAGGTGACTTAAACAACAGAAATTTGTTTTCTAACAGTTTTGTAGGTGGGAAGTCAGAGAAATGGCACCAGCGTGGTCAGGTTTTGGTGAGGGCTCTCTTCCTGGCTTACAGATGGTCACCTTCTTGCTATGTCCTCACATGACCTCTTCTTTGTGCAAGGCGAGGGTAGGGGGAGCAGGAAGGAGAGCACGAGCATGGAAATTCCGATGTCTCTTATAAGGGCGCTAATTCCATTCATAAGGTCCCCATCCTGATGATCTCATCTAACCTTAATTGCCTCCCAAAGGCCCCATCTCTAAATATCACCACGTTGGGGGCTAGGGCTTCAACATATGAATTTGGGGGTGAGGGAGACACATTCAGCCTATACAGGGGGCAATGGTGTTTAGTACCCTCAAAGGGGTAGGTGTTCGTTTGTGAAGTTGGATCTTTTCTTGGGGTTTTTGCTTCTCACCAACTTGTGCAAAACCACTTCATACAAGGCATAGGCTTGAACAAGCTATGCACCCACTGGTTTGGGCAACTTATAATGGAAAAAACATGATGATTTCAAATAATCAAAATAACTAATAGAAGAGAAATCAATGTTACGAGGTATTTTGGATGTTAGTTCAGTTAAGCACTAAATTTAGCTCTGGTCCTGCTGATAGCTCAGACCAAAAGAGAAAAAATACATTTGCTAATTGTCTTTTCTATTTCACACATGTTAAATTCTGGGTAAAGTTCCAGCTTTACTTACATCTCCTGAAGCAAACTGCTATTTCCAAACGTATGCTCTTTATAGAAGAGAAAAGTCACTGGTGTTTTTTTCCCCCCAAGAGCTTCACATTTTGTTTCAGTGCATTTCTAGCTTATTAGAGAAACAAAACTAGTCATACTAAAAATATCCAATGGGGAATCTCCCTCCCCAAACATATACTGGAACCTGATGAGAAAAATAACATTTTGCAAAATCTGCAGTTGTTTTTTTTTTTTTTTTTTTGCACAGATCAAAAGAATTTTCTTACTTTTTAATAATTCAGATAACCTTGGAGATCCAGCTACTTTCCAGGCATTGCTCAGCAATGAAGAACTCAGAAGTCACTTATTGCTTGATTCCAAGTCAGTTCTCCAATTAGGCAAGTCCCATTACTCAGTGTGTCTATAACAGCAAGAAGACAGCTCAGTGTGGTAGAAGAGTCTCTGGTTTCAGGCCCAGCTCTGCCACAGAATAATTGATGGGTTCCATTGAGCAACTTATTTACCCTTTCTGAGTCTGTTGTCATTAATTCAACAACTCTTTTCTTGAGCATCTAAAAGGGCCAAGCACTGTATCCAGGTGAAAAAGATAGCCTTGTCCTTAAGGCTTCTGGAAAAGGGAGTTTTCCATTCTGTAATGTAATTGTTACCTTCCTTGTGTGGGTGCTTTGGGTCTGTTCCTCACTGGTTTGGCACACAAAACAAAAACGTGAGTGTACAAAGAAACAAATGAATGGCTGAGTGAATGAAATACAAAGACTATATTTTAGCCACCTTATTTTATGCCATTACCACTCTTCTCATGATCTCCTTTGTCTAATAACTTAGGTCCAAGTGGTGTATCTTCAATTTGACCTCTCTTTAGCCCTTTATCCTCAGAAAAACCTATTTTTTGGCTGTAATCTGCTTCCTTCATTCTTCTCTGGCATGGTTACTCAGGAATCTACTTCTATCCCTAATCCCACCCCTAAATATTTTCCTATGCCATAAATTCAAAAAACATCCATTGAACACATGATATCTGGCAAGCACTAGGGCAAACCAAGATGTTGGAGAACACAGACTCTGCTTCCCACCTTCTGTGGCTGTGGACAGCGCTTCGTGTCCCATTCACAGCCACAGAAGGCAGGCCTCATTTCTTTGACTCAAAGCTGCTGAGATACCAGGACAAGAAAAATGGCATCATGTGATTCCCAGAAGTATTACATCCACAAGATCTACCCCCGACCTCATGCTAGCCCCCCATACAACAATTTTTAACAAAAGTTTCTGTTTGGGGTATAGGACTGGCTTAAGGTTTCCATCCACTTAATAGCCTGTGGATCCCAAATGCTACACCAATCCCTGGTGTGCCACTCTCGTCTCCACCTCCAATATCATTTCCCCACCATTATTTGAACAATGATTGAACACCAGATTCTCTAGATAACATTACTAGGAAAATAAATTTTAAAGATAGAAATAAGTAGCATTTGAATATCATGTCAAAGTTTAAAACCACTTCTACATATGCTATTTCAGTCAATATTCACAACAAAGCTTGAGGCTGAGAGGGTAAATGACTAGATGGCAGGTCGTATGGTCAGTAAAGTGGCAGAGCTGGCATTCGTCCCGAGATCATCGAGTCAAAGTCCTAGAGCCTATTCAGAGGGGGCCAAGGAGTCCCCTGTTTGGTTTTGCTCTCATATTCACAAAAAGCTACACATTTAGCCTTTAAGTGTTTGTTCCAATAGCATTATACAATAGTTCCCCTTATCCAAAGGGAATATGTTCCGAGACTCCCAGTGGATGCCTGAAACCTCAGATAGCACCAAACCCTATATATACTATGTCATTTTGATCTGATAACCAAGACAGCTACTAAGTGACTAATGGGCAGGTGGCATCTACAGCATGGATATGCTGGACAAAGGGACAACTTGCATCCCAGGAGGGACAGAGTGGATAACATGAACTTTTATCATGCTATTCAGAAAGGTGCACAATTTAGAACTTATAAATTATTTCTGGAACTTTCCATTTAATATTTTCAGACTGTAGTTGACCAGATAACTAAAACCATGAAAAGTGAAACCACAGATAGAGAGTACTGCACATAGATCTAAAGAGATACTGCCTCAGGGTTAAGAAAAACAAAGTTCATTATGAAAGTAAAATACAAGTTTAGAATTGTATGTTTTGGCATTTTTTTCAATATACTGAGAACCTCAGTGGAAGTTTCCCAGGCCTCTCTCAAACTCTTGAGGTTCGATAATTTTTTTTTTTAACATGACATCTCTAAAACTTGTTTATCTGCTGTCACCTTATAGAAATAAAGTTGGCTGATTTTCCTTGATTTACCCTCCATTCGTACATATATCTACCTCATCTCCCTAAAAAACATCTTCATGACCTATGCATACCACAAACTCTAACAGGATCACATGTCTTCACAGGCCCCAGCCTGAAAGAGTCCACAGCTCACCAGCAGGGATGAGATCTGCGTGCTTTGCTGTAATATCTGGAGAACCTAGCTAGTTGTAGTTCACAATTCTGCCCTGATAAATTATCTTCCTCTACGGGTGATGTCGGTGGGTTCAAATAGCAAAGGAATATTTAAAATCGTATCTCTAGGCCTCAATTCCTTCACCCATAAAAGGAAGGAAATAACATTCTAACGAAAATGAATGGAAGACCAAGTGCTCTTCAGATCAGCAGATACACTTACAAGATGCTACAGCGAATGCCAGCCCCTGAACTTTAGTATCTTCCCTGGTCCCTAGCTGGGCACAACAGCTGCCCATAGGAAAGGAAGAATCAACTTTTCCATTTGCAGTTGGAAGTGCAGACCCTCCCAAGCAGCTTCCCAGTCACTCTCCTAGCATCATAACTAGGCTACGTTCACGCACATCCCCTGCTTTGTGACTGCTTTGGTGGTGAATGATTCTAGCTGGAGGCAACGAGATTCTTGGACTCTCTGTGCCCGCTCAGGGCATCATGGGAATGACATGGGAACTGTCCAGCTACGGACAGGCTCCAGCAGAGCTTCTTACACCCCGAGTCCCTGGGGGCAGCTGTGGATCTTCCCAGGCCAACCAACGTTAACTGCTTTCCATTTTCCCCTTTTCCCTATTTATTACAGCTTTTCAGAAATTTGATGAGGTGAAATATTCTCCAGCAGAGGAAATAATATAAAGCTTAAAAGTCATTTGTGATGGAATGGTGAAATAATTCCACTACTTTTCTTTTTGAGAAAAAAAGAAAAAATGAGGCAACCTGAGGCAGCCTCTGGGGATTTCATTATTGATAGATTGGAGGGAAACATAATGGCTTTAGATGAACAGGTTTTTCTTTTAACTTGTTAGAGCACTTTAGGATGAAGGGATGAGAAAGACAGGTGCTAGACAATCGAATAAACCTGGCACCAGCTTATTTACATAATTTTGTATACAAATGCATTGAAGTATGAAGTATAAATTGACTGTGTTGAATAGTGAAAATAAAGTATTTTGGAAAACAATCTGTGTTCACCACCCAGCTCTAAAATAACTGAACATTTTATGAAATACCTCCTTTGTGAAAATTACTAGTGGTTTAAGCTGTGCATGCAGTTTCAAAAAAACAATCTTTTATGCAATTGTTTAAGGTAATTCTTAAGAATGCATTCTCTAAACAGATGAGACATTGAGTGGGGGATGGGAAGAGGACATTTACACCTGACTCGTCGTGGTCCACTCACCATTTCTTCATGATTAAAAGCTAAATCAGGAGGGCTGGGGGTATGTGTAACAAAGATTATAAACAGCAATTTTTGCAAGGCAAGTTGCTTCCTAAATGAAGGAGTAGGGGATTTAAAGGTGAACATAACCGTCTCTTCCACAGCATGCAAAGGCTTGTGCTGTGTGCAATTCCTAAATCCTAACTTCCTTTTGACAAGGATTCCTTAACAGGCCTCCCAGATACCTGAAACCGATTTTAACCCACTCCGGTCCTCCACTGACCACAACGTTACCTGAATGGTGTGGTCCAATTTCCAGGCTACTCACTAGTCCTCAGGCCTATGGGGTGAGTAAATATCCCATGTGGGACAGGCTTGGTGAATATTCATGAGCCCAGAAAGCTCAAGCCTATTACTGCCAGGCTTGAAGAGGAAGCATTTTAAAAATTCACTGCACCAAGAAGCGTTTCTCTTGTCAGTTGTTGCTGATGTTGGCTCATTCTTTTAAACATGAAATTTTTATTGTTAAACATTTTTAACCATAAAATGACCTTAGAACATGTAAAAGTAGTAATGTGTCCTCACAAACTGCTGTGTTTTGAGATTTTGAATATTAGGCCTATGCTTTATGGCTCAAGGGATGGAACAAAAAATATACTGAGAAGCAATTAGAATCATTACCAACAAATCAGAATGTCAGGGAATTGGAGAAGAGCAAGGGTCTTAGAGTTGGAAGTACCCTTAGAGGTTGTCCAGCTGGCCACCCCTTATGTAAACATAGAAAACCCATCACAGACATGTTCAGGGCACAGCAGCCTAAGGCAGTGGTTCTCTGTGTGGTCTCCTGACCGGCAGCCTCAGCATTATCTGGGGACTTGTGAGAAATGCACCTTCTCAGGCCCCACCTGCGAGCTGAGCTTTCACGGCTGTGTTTAACAAGCGCCCCACAGGCTCCTGGTGCAGGCCAAGGCTGGGCACCTCTGCCGCTGCTGCAAGGTCACCTAGCCAGGGCCCCTTCTGCAAGTGACTCAGGGTGGCCTTCCCAAAGCCAATGGAAGAAGAGTTGAGATTTCAATTCTTTCTTTCGAGGGAACCTCTGTATGAGGAAAACTATTATTAGCCAGATCTAGTTAATTTCTGGCATTATCCACTGACTTTATCCAGTGACTTCCAACCATTTCTAGCCCTGTGACTCTCATCTCCCAAGAAACATGCTGAGAGGACACACTTTTGAGGTGAAATATAACAGAAACTGTGTTTTGATAATTTTGTGATAGGCAAGAGTGTTACAAAACCAACATGAAGAATCCCTCCTAACTCCTCTCAGCCCTAGTCCCCATAGAAAAAATAGCCAAATTCCATTTTACTGTCTAAAGCCAAGGAGGCACTTAGCGTGTGCTCTCTAATGCCTCTTACCTTAGGTCTAGAGACCCCTGTGGCTGTGTATAGTGTCAAGTCTTCAGTGCGGACTCAAGGAAACTTCAGCCAAGGCAAGACAGGATAGGTACAAATAGGGAAATATCCTAGTTTTCTTACATCATAGGACTGCTATTGTTTTCCGTCTTTATCATGAAGTAACCTCTCTCTCTCTTTCCAACACTAGGAAGAGCTAAAAGGGGATGATGTGGAATGCATTGTCAACCAGGACGAACTGGCCGCGAATTACCAGGAGCAAGCCCCCTCACCCTGCAGTCCTCCTGCAAGGCTGGGTCTGGACCAGAAAGCTTCACCCCAGGCTCCCAGCAAGGAAAACATTTACGAGGGAGACCTTGGCCTAGGAGGCTATGAACTCAAGCTTGAGCAAACTCCGGGTCAATCCCAGTTGAATTAATTGGCACGAAGAGTGCAGATGTAATCACAAGTAATACAAGGCTCACTAAGGAGCATAAGCCAAGCTGATGAGGCAGTGTAGGGGAGAGGCTGGAAATGTATTAAGAGCATAAATTGGAGAGAATCAAAGCCTCGTCTCATATATCTTCTGGTTCCTGAAGAAATGAGAATTTATTATCATCCCTCGATATTATGCAACTGAGTTTAATTTTTTGAAAGCCGCCATTTCTATTACTGGATTTCCTGGGGCATGGGTGGGGGAGTCAGGAGTCCAGCTGCTGGGAGGGTGGGACAGTGGTGCTGGGTCTACAGGGGATTTCTGCTCTGCATGCAGCTCTCCAGGCCTTCACTTAGATTTTGGATTTTGTTCCCTTTATTAGGGAAAGTTTAAAAATAAGAGTTTCTACGACTAAACATTTTCCTCCTAAGCTGAAGGTAATGTCCAGTTACTTAGTAAGTGATAAGTTTTGGGACTTGACACCCACTTGCTCTCAATGATCCCAGGACTATGTGCAGAGCTCAGAGAAGTGTTCAGTGCCCACTATTGATGGCCTCAGAACCCCACACCAAGTCGGGGAACCTACTGTTCTTGTTGGCATCCTTTCCATGCTACTTCTCCCATTGTTCCAAGGGGTTGCTTATAGCTGGGTGGGTGTGTCCTGCTGCAAAATGCAGTGCCACTTTCCAGTTTGGTAGGATCCCTTTCAGGGAAAACAGGCTCCACCCACCCAATACCATGTTTTACCTAAAAAATGAGCCTCTTGTCCTTGCTTGCATGTGAGTCACTGCTTGGCTCTGCAGCAGGTCCCCTGTATGCTGAGTAATAAGATTCCATAGCACGTGTTGTCTTCCACATGGCAGGAAACCATGCGGGAGCCCGACCTCCCCAGCTCTCCACCCCACCCCCTTCTAGCACTCATGGCTGATTAGCAGCCAGGAGCAGGGGTGAGAGGAGCAGGGCTGACCATGCATGGTTCATGCTGAGGAGCTAAAGGCAGGGCCTCAGGACTTCCCCGGATGAGGTGTGGCTCATGGCATACATTCCAGAGATCAACATGATAGCTTCTAATTCAGCTGCATGACCTGTGCCTTTTAAGCCATAAGATACCTCAAGCCTAGCTTCTTATAAATACAGATGTTAATATGATATTCCAAAAAGCAAGCTCCAGTCTTAGGTATGCAGGCTATGACGAGTCTGCTTTTGAGGGAGATAGGGAATGAGATCTTCCTTGCACCCAAAGCTTGAAAGTAACGAATGCTTTGCTGATCACTTATTAGGCCTTAAACATTTATCGTGGTGGTGTCAGGCACACTACTATATGCAATTTTCTTGCTTTCCAAACAGTAGAATCTGGGCACATTGTTTTATATTCAACTACTAAGTGTAATTTTGTCATTTCAGGTAAATATGACAAGTGGTGAAGCATGAAGTTTTCTAATTTGACTTAATCCTAATAAAATTTTGTTATAAAGTATAATTGTGTTGGCTAATGCTTTGTGTTTAAAGGCATTTTCTCTGTCCAGATAATTGGCAGTTCTAAGCTCTTGTACTCAGAATAGTGGATGAAGCAGGTACTGAAAGCTGACATAGGGAGATGCAAGGGTCCCGGGGCCTGGGAACAGCAACAGTGGCTGGCACGACAAGTCAGTGAAGGAATGAAGAGATGGTGTTGGGCTGGGAAGATGTCCCACAGGAGGGAAACCTGAGTCAAGCAGTGGCACAGCCTCCTCCTCTCCCACTGGAGGCAACTAGAATTCACAAAGCTGCAAAAATAGGGAGTGGAGATATAGGGGAAAAAGGCGAAAGATAAGGATTCATCTTATTTTTGCCTCCATCATTCAAAAGGAAGATTTGAAGACTTGGCATTTTCTTTGTGTAGAGAAAGACATCAGACAAAGAAGATCCACCCCAAAAAAGGCAAACATTAGTGGGGGGCAGGAGTGGAAAGGGGGAGAAATGACATACCAGATGGGAGTGAGATCAGGTAGGGAGGGTACGCAATCTAAAACTGGCACCGACTCTTGTAGCGAAAATAGCCTCTTGCCCCACAGGCAAAACCGCCTTCCTGCTTAGAAACAAAATCTTTCCCTTCTAATATCATGAGCCATTACTAACACGATAATAAAGGGCATTTAATCCGAGCTGGGTCACATATGCCAGCCGACTCCAGGAAGGCAAGATACTCTAAGACTGAGGAAGGTGTGTCTCACCCGATCTGTGAGACAGTGTTCCAGGCTCCTTCCCTCTGGATCACTCTGAGACCCAAACAGAGGCTAGTGTCCCAGCTGGCAGTTCATAAAACCAAATTTCCTCTGTGCTCCTGTTGTGAAAGATAATGATTTATGATCTTAAATGCTCTGTGCTTTGATTAGTAGCATCGGGACTGAAATTCAAACCTATTATTTACTGCCAGTTTCTAAGGAATAATAAAGGCAAAAGAGTTTTATTCAAACCACTAATGCTTCCACTCATTATGAGAGCTTTAAACAGGACTCAAATTAATTAACTGACTTATGGGTCTTCCTTGAACTTCTTACATATACATTGCACACACACTTCCACTCACTATCGGGGTCCCGGATAGAGCCTCTGGGGTGTTCTCCATGGTACTGGGCATGTCTGAGCAAGTCTGAAGCCTGGTGGTAAGTGATATCAGGGTCTTCATTCATGAAGTTTCTAGAAACTTTTTAGAGGGCAATTTAACATTATAAATCAAAGCTAAAACTTTAAATGCCCTTTGACCCACCAATTTCATGTGCAGAACTTTTATTCTAGATAAGTGAGAAATTATACTTATGAAAGGTGTTTAGTAAAACAACTGAATTGCCATCCTGGTTAAATCCACTATGGCACAGCCATTTCATAAAACAGTATATGTACTGATATGGAATGATCTCCAAGACACATTGTTAAATAAAAACAGCAAAGTATAAAACAGAAGGGATGGTATGCTACCATTCTAGCAGGTTAAAGGAGAAACTGGCAGTATGGTTGCCTCTTAAGAACTAGGGGACTTGACTTTTCACTTTTGTACCTTTTGAGTTTTGCATACTATATATGTATTGTTTATTCAAAACCAAATAAGATTTTTATGTACTCATTCCAAGTGCTGAGCTACAATAGGAAATACAGTGAAAGCTGAATCTTTCACTCAATCTTTTCGAAAATTTAAGAATATAAGGTATGGCACCAACAGCACGAATATCTTCTTGGCTGATTCATTTACATCATTTAATACACATAGATCCAGGGATGGACACACTTGAAGCTCAGACTTGGGGGGGAGGGGGAGCAAGGGCATCATACGTAACCTAATCATCTGTACGCCCATAATATGCTGAAATAAAAAAATAATAATACACATAGATGCAAACTGTCTAAAAGATCTCGAAATTCAGACAAATATGACTCAGCCTTATCCACCAAGTATCTACTAGAAGGCAGCTTAAAAAAAATGATTCCTTATTATTAGATAGCAAAACATAGAATAAAGCTACAATAACTAAAACAGTATGGTATTGACCCAGAAATAAGGAGCAAGATCAAGAAAATCTAATAAAAGGTACAAAAACAGAACCCCATGAATATATTTAGAAATTTAGTTAATAAAAAATGGCATTTTGGCATTTCAATTTGAGATGAGGATAAATGGACCAATTTTTCAATTTGGAAAAAGAAAAGTTATATATAATACATATGCAAAACTAAATTCCAAGTAATAAGCATCTAAATAAAAAACAAAACTATAGGTCAAAAATTAAAGAAAATATATAAACATTGGCATATGAACAGTCTCCTTGAGAAGGACACAAACCAAAAACAGTGACAGATTTGACTATATAATATGAAATTTCTTATGACAAACAAACCAAATTTAACAAGAAACCAAAATGGGACAAAGATATATACTTTTGTGTATGTGTGTGTATCAGACTAAAGATGATTCTTCGGAATATACAAAGAGCCAATGCACACGACAAAAAACTACCAAATACAAAAATATGCCAAGAATGTATAGAATTAAAAGTGTACACCTATCCAGAGTTTCTACTTTTAGGCATCTCTGCAGAAAATAAATACTTGGCATGATATTCATTGTGGCACTTTTATTGTAAAATATTGGGGGGAAAAGCCAAAGTATTCAACAATAAAAAGTTAAATAGGGCCGGGCGCAGTGGCTCATGCCTGTAATCCTAGCACTCTGGGAGGCCGAGGCAGGTGGATCGTTTGAGCTCAGAGTTCGAGACCAGCCTGAGCAAGAGCGAGACTCCATCTCTACTTAAAATAGAAATAAATTAGCTGGACAACTAAAAATATATGGAAAATATAATTAGCTGGGTATAGTGGCACATGCCTGTAGTCCCAGCTACCCTGGAGGCTGAGCCGGGGGGATTGGTTGAGCCCAGGAGTTTGAGGTTGCTGTGAGCTAGGCTGATGCCACGGCACTCTAGCCTGGGCAACAGAGCAAGACTGCCTCAAAAAAAATTAAATAAACTATAGTACACCATACTAGGGAATACTCTGCAGCAATTATACTCTGCACAGGGATGGTCCTATACGCACTCACATGGAAATATTTCCAGGATGTGTTAGTGAAAAAACAGTCTGGAATAATAGCAGACTAACATGCAAAAGGTGGGCTGGAGGAGGAGGGCTAGACCAAGAGAGCCTTTTGGTTGATCTGTATTATTTTTAATTTTTTGCAATGGTACTACACTTATGAATTCTCTGTTTATTAAAATAAATGTAAAGGTATGAAAAATATAAGTGACTGAGGTACTATAGATATTGTTGTTGAATTCTAAGGTAAGGAGGAGCCATGAAAGAAGATGTGGTCTATTCTGAGTGTGGCTCTGGCTTCAAGGTCAGGGAAGGGGGAGAAGGCATGGTGAAGAAAGACTTCAAAGTAGTACTTACATTTGCATGAGCTCTTGAAAGGTTTTTAACTAAGCAGACATGATTGACGCCAGCTCCTGGGGCAGGAGGTGGGCTGGATCACTAGAATACGGAAAGCATTCCAGTCAAAGGCAACAGCATGGGCAGAGACAAAGGGGTATGAAGCAGCCTGGCATGTTAGAGGAACTGTTATTCCACATAGTTACCATACAGGTTGTTTATCTGTTTGAGGGTGGGGAGAAAAAAATGAAAG